TACAAGCGAAGGATACACATACTTAAAACAGAGCTCAGGAGCAGGTATGCAGTCCTGGGAACCCTTTCAATAAAAGCAAAGCAGGGTTTTGTTATTTTTTTTTTTTCTTTCTTTGCAGGTACATACAGAGACTGGAATATGTCAAATTAAGTAGCACAAAAGACCATCACACAATTCTACCAATGAATGTTGCATCTATAAATTCACGAACATGGTCAACAGTCATGTTCACTTCAACCCCTTAAAAAAAAAAATGTTGTTTTTATTTTAAATAAAGCATTAATGTTACATTCAGACTCAACTCCTAGTACCATGCGGTAGATCTCGGTATTGTCAAGGTATTGCAAGAGTCACCAACCCCGTCGGGCCCAGTGGTGACAGCCACGACCGCACCCGCGCCCCGACCACGGGCTGGCACCACTGGAACAGTTTGCAGCTGCCCCTTTTTCCGTCTGCTCTCGAGGTTAGAAAAAAAATAAAATCAACAGGGATGGGGAGGGGAACTGCAAAGAGCCCGGTTTTTAGAAAAGCTCAACAGGGGACTGCAAATACTCAAGACAAATATTCGCTGCATACCACGTAACGGTGCCTTGCTGATAGCCAAAGGCCCAAGGCCCTACCTGGAGTCTCCTCCTCTACCTTCCAAGTGATTATTCAGGGTTTGCTGTGACATGATGTTCATGGTTAAACAAAAATTATGTAGCTCTTATTTACAATTTTTTGTAACAATTGCTTCTGCAGGGAAAAAAAAAAAAAAAGTAGTAAAACTCACAAATCTTCAGAACACAAAGGGAATAAGATGTCAGACACTCCCATGCGCGCACTCACACCCGCGCACTCACACACAAAATACTTCAGGGGCTTTTACACACATTATTCTGGCTTAAGCTGATTGAGTATTTCTCCATCCCACCCACTCCCCCTCCCAAAATATATATATAAAAAACCCTCGCCCCAATATACAAAGCATATGCACAATGGTGTTTGCAGTCACACTGAGCATGCTCAGACGGATGGACCCACTCGTCACCGCTGAAGGGGCAGGCAGGCTAGAGAGTCGTTCCCAATAGTGGTCGATACAGTCAGCACATGGCGAGAACTGGACTAGACTTAGAAATATCTGTGTTTTGTTTTTAATATAAAGAGTTCCATGAAAAGACATTCAAACGCCAGTCATCTACTGAAGTGGGAAGTCTAAAATGAGGATACACTCGGTTTGGGGAGGTCTCGGAAGGGCACTGTCACCTCTCAGAGCTCTGATACTCCTTTGTACTTCTTTTTTTAAAAAAAAAAGTCATCTTGCACAGTAAGAACAGAATAGTTAGTTTTGCTTCTTAGTTTCATTAGCAGAACTTGTATTTAAACCTCCCCAAACTGTAGGAAAATATTCAAAGTTCAGGGAAAAATTCCTATTTGATCAATACATATAGAATATATAATTTCCACATATAGCTGTGACCCTCCTCCAAACTAACGTATATCCTATATGCCAGCAACTGTTTTGTGACAGTGTCCCTTTAAATATCCATCCGCTTACGTTTTCATATCCTGCCTCCCCCAACAGATGAATGTCCACTTCTCAAATATTCAACTCATGGATCAATTTGTAGTTTTTAAGAACCATGTGTTCAACAATATGATCTGTTATAAAAATAAACACTTCACAAACAAATTACATAAAGCAAAGCACCAGTTTCTACAGCTCAAAAGCTTCCAGCATGTTACAGTTTACTTCCCTCCCTCCTTAACCTGGGTGCCTCAGTGTCTATTGTACCTTTGTGACCATCACCAGTGGAGGGTGGGGTGGGAAAAAAAAAAGAAAGAAAAAAGAAAAAAAGGAATTCAAGCACATCTTCTGCCTCTGCCCTGGTAGTCCATCACCTGCGGGTGCAGCCGGGAGGTGGCACAGGGGCTGAGCCCACTCAGAACCGTTACCTGGCACTGGTGAGGCTCCCTGGCAGAAGTCACCCAAGGTGTGCTGCTTCTCTCCCCACACGCTCTTCTGCTTGGATGAAGTGAAAACAACAAAATCAAAAGCTTCTTGGCTGCCCCATTTCCAAGTCTTGCTCTGACCCACAATCCATTCTGAAACCCGTTTAGCTTGGCAGGTTTGGCATTCTCATGTTGATCAAACAGAAACTGAAGCAAATCATCTTTCGTATGAAATTCCAACTGAAATTGCAAATTTTTACTGATCGAGCCTTGCGGACAGTTAAGCGCAGTGCAGGTAACTGCGAAACTGAGCGGGGTGGTGTGGATTCAGAAAGAGAACGTACGAAAGGACATCTAATGGAAGTTAGTTACGAACAACCATTTGAAGAGCAAGAGCAGGGCAGGGCACTAGATTAACTGAACTGTGGAATAAATCCATTTACCTCTCTGCAAAGGCTCCGAAACTACAGCTGTGAAACAGAAGACAATCTTTTCAAAGCCTTCTTCTGTGACTGAAACTTCCTGCTGCGTGAAGAACTATTCATGCTCCTAAAGAAAGGCATTTTTGAAGCTTTCCTTCAAGAAATCAGAATGCTTAATATAAATTAATTAAAAAGGACATTTAAAAATGTTAAGTCTGCCACTACTGAAAAATGTTGTGTACTAAAAATAAAATAAAACTGTATTTAACCTTCACAATTTTCCTCTATCTGTAAAAATGTAAACCGCTGTATTTCTAACAGACTAACCAAGAGATCATCAGGGTTTAGTGTTTGCACAAATCAGCAAAACAGTAAGATACAGAAAAAGTTACAAAATCCCAGTAGTAGCACAGGATTCACATAGTGTTTGGGTTGTGACAAACTCAAAGGTAAGCATCATGCAGCCTGTAACAGCCATGAGAGATGAACGACTGAGAAAGCAGAACAGTTTTGTAAGATAAAGGGCCAAAATTGCCAGGCGTAAAATAATCCAGTCCAAAACCTGAACTGAGAACAACAGAAACATTTTTCACAGCCTTAACTTTAGTTAACTGTGTTGGAAAAAAACCCAAAAATATATTTTAAGTGGAACTTACAAAATACACTCTTCAGCAAAAATCTTGTCTAGCAGATAAAGAAACAGCTGTTTGGCCAGATCAGCTAGAGGTGTCCTATGTTTAAGTAATCCTGGTACATCCGAATACCAAAAAACCCCCTAAGAACCCAACAGACAATAGCTTGAAACATAGTCTGGACTGAAGGGGAACAACTATGTGGACCAGACACTCACAAAAGTGTATGCTACCCCCTAATTTAATCCAAATGTTTTTTAAAACTTGGCCATTTATTTTCCCATATTACCCAAGAAGCACTGGACTAGGAGTGGAGGGAATGCAAGAGACTCTGCTCTCCCAGAAATCTGGAAGGTGGGAAGAGGTGTGGGAGAGGAGAGGGGATTACATTTGCTTCAAGACTGATACTTCACTCCAGCCTTAAGCTGTTCTGCAAAATTAAACCACTTAAAAAAAAGATTTACAATGGAAACACCGATCATCTTTATTGTAACGGCAACAGTAGTTTCATTATAGTAAAGAATGTTAGAGAACTTAAATTTTTATAAGCCAAGGTAAAGTAATTTACCAGCCTCCATAAAATCCATGGCTATGAATCACACAAGACAATCGCTCGGCTGTTGTATGAATATTCCGTTCCACATTTTAGGCTCCACACTGTGCTCAGCATCTTCAGGCTCCCTATGCCATTCAGCCAAGTGTCCTTCCTGGTCATATTAGTGTATCACATCTAAAAGCTCTCTAAAATCCAAAACAGGATTAAAAACCTGGTAGCATGTGCACCAGAAATCCAACTAATTAGCTGCCTTATGTTACCTTCAAGAGGCTGGTTACAAAGTGTGTAGTTCTGTGACAACAACAAAAAAAAAAAGATGCAAAGCTTGTCAGCTATAAGATAACTGTGAGCAACATACAGAAAGCACAAAGGGTTTAAGAAAAAAAAAAAAGAAAGAAAGAAAAATGGCAGGTCCAGTTTCATTACTTCCACCAACAAACATGGCAGCAACCCCTGCGTTAGGGTTTGAAAACCAAGGCTTGTGTACTTTAATTGAAGTTTAAAAAAAGGATATGGCTGCTTTGATAAAAACACATTAAAATGCCACCACACACATCTCAAGTGTCTTGCATTTAGAGGGACATCCTGCTTTTGTTACAAAACGACAGCCCTGCTACACTGCTTCCAACCTCCACTTCCTCCCAGCTCCATCCTTTAACACTGTTCCCTACTCGGCACTTCTTAGGCTCGGGGAGCAGAACGATGACCCCCAGTTAGAAGCAGACACGTCCATGTGGGAGCAAAGCCTCCCACCCTGCAGGATGGAAGGATGAAGAGATGGAAGTGGTACCGTGGTGATGTTGGCTATCAATGGAAGTCTGCTGTCCAACACTGTAGCTGGAGAGGCTGAGAGGTACGACTACATAGCCTTTCTGAGGACAGATGGAAGGAGAGAAGAGAAACACTTAAGCGTGACTCATGGGATCCGAGACTGACCAGAGCATTACAGGAATCCTTTGCTTCACATTTATAAAAGGACATCCCTCGCCCGAAAAGCTGAAGAATTTACGTTTACACTGCCCATTAATTTTTTTCCTTGGAAAAAACTTCAAAGACATTTTCCACAATACCAAATGGAAACCAGAGTTTTAAAAATTGTTTTCAATTTCTCTTCCCTATTCTGCCCATCTACAGCCAACCTTGGAAGAAATAAAATAGAGTTAATGGATGCGAGAAGCTTGTAGGTCGTACATCTGAATTTGTATAGAATGAACTGAAATTTGCCTAAAGCAGAATAGTATTCTATCCAGCAGACAAAAGAGCCTGCATCCTAATTGGAGGGTCTTTTCTAGTGGACCATCTACAAGTCTCTTGATTGCTTTCCATAAAAAAATGTGCCTGAATCCAAGAAACACAGGTTTCCTCCCCATGCTTCCTCTTCCTCGATTGGAATTCGTATCAACTACATTTTTTCTGAGTGAACTTGTATCCACAAAAGTCTGTTAAAGCATAGGTTCATTTTTTCCACATATTCAAATACAGAATAATAGTTTTAAAGAACTCTTACCAGCACTGGGAAATCTATTCTACTTAACGATTTGTAAGTATGGTTTCCACGTTATCAGTCTCAAACCTTATTGCTTCACAACTGCAGTATCCCTTGAAAAAAATATATATTTAAATGGTCTGTTAATTTGTCTCAAATGGCTTTCAGATTTGGCGGGGGAGGGAGAACGGAATGGCCAACAGAGAACATTGACTTCAAAATATTACTGTATAAGGGTTTCCTCTTATTAAAAAAAGGGTACACTGTATTAAACAGCTGAAAGTAAAGACAGCATTCAAAGCCCATGAGTCAAGCCACAGCCAAAACCGTGTTCTACCCCTAAGTATGTTTTCTTTTCCTTTTTCTTTTTTTTTTTTTCTTTTTTTTTTCCTTTTTTTTTTTTAAACAAAGATCTCCTCAACTGCCATTTAATCTTCACCAGAGGGTGCTTCATCTTCGGATCCCTCATCCCCTGACTTCTCTGGTGGAGGGCTGGCTGATTTTTTCTTTTCTGGGGGACTTTCAGGCTCTTCATCCTCTTCTTTGGGGGATGGGGTCTTTTCTTTTGTTGCCTTGGAAGCTGTGGGGCGGCCTGCCTTCCCTTTGCCTTTCACTGGGCTGGGGGTCACTGAAAAAAAGAAAAAGCTTATAAAAGTTATGATCAGCAACAACGACAAAAAGGTCATATGGCTTTATAAGAACAGGATTTACCAGACACTTCAGCAGCAGGTTTCATTTTGCTTTGACCACACCATGCACACGGTGGTTTCGCACTCCATATTAGTAAAGCTGAACTAAAGAGTTAGTTAACAAGATTTTTTTTTTAAAAACTATTTAATTGCAAGTCCTGACTAATTACTGGATACGACATGATAAACTAACATAGCCAGCTGCTTATCGAACTAGTACATACGTCCCTATTACGATCTTAGACTCCCTGCAGAAATGCGTCAAATTTTCCTTTGGTTCAGATTTCTCCATCTTCCTCCACCTTGAAAACATCAGAGAGTCCACAAGTCCCAAAGCCACAAATTAAACTCTTTGGCTATGATACATAGAAAGTCAGACTGCAGCATCTCAAGAGGGAAGGCTTTGCCACCGACGCAGCTTTTGCCAATGAGACATAGATATTAACTCAATCTCTCCAGTAAGAACTAAAGCCACCTTATTATTTCACAGTGCTGCTTTAAATCACGGCACATGACATGAATTAGCCCTTCAACACTGTACATGAACACCTACCAACCCCAAGATTTCTGAGTCTTCTATAGCAGCAGAAGAAAATACTACCCTCTAAAGCAAGCTGCACAGACTCACCTGTAGCCTTTAGCCTGGGCTTCGGCATTTTCTTTTCTTTCCTCTCGGGCTTGGATTTCTTGGAGACCTTTTTATTTTTCTTTTTTGAACTGCCATAGTCACTATCATCATCATCTTCCATGAGGAAGTCTTCATCGCTTCCTGAATCTGCTGAAAGCACACAGAAATTTAAGTTTTTGGGGAAAAAAGGAAAGGGAGCAGCAGATACAGTTGAGAGATCTGCCAGTTAAGCTGCGGAGACAGGAAACTAAGACCCTACGAGCTTCACCTATCTGCTGTGCTAAAGAAATCTGACATAGCAGAAGATTTCACACTGGTAGGGATAAAGCACTAGTTTGACAAAGTGTTTTGAAGCTCTCAAAATGTGCTCTACCTCCTTAACGAGTAACCCATCTCAAAATAAAGAGAATCTCTTGACAGAGAGAAGCAATCTTTTCAATGGCACTCTTTACTCCATTCGGAAATCATGTTTGCACTCGCTATTTCAGGAACTTACTGCGGTTCATTACCAGCTGAACCCATCTCTTCTTATGAAACAAACCATCCTACTTTGATTAATCAAGGATAAAGTACTTTTACACCACCTGGAAGTAGCATCAATGTCTCAAAACCAATGGGATAGCGAGAAACAGCAAAGAGCACTAAGAACTTTACACCAACCCTTTAGCGCTGCTTATAAAGACACAGGTACATCTTTGCTGCAAACTTCAAACATAAATTCTAGATGTGAACAACAGCAAACTTGTTCCTTTTGCTGGCCAGACCCACAAACTCGTGTCTGGTACTGTACTCACATTACATGGATTTTAACTTTTTACAATCCCATTTACTCACTCTCCTGGAACTGTGCCTCATCATCCTCTTGTTCTTCCTCCTCACTACCCACATCGTCCATAAGCATCTCTCGTTGTTTAGAAGCTGCTTTGGATGCTGCCTGTCGTTGCTGACGCACATTTTTGTGGTCTTCTTTCTCATCCTCACTGTCCTCTGCAGCAAAAGTCACCGAGTTATAACGCAGACAACACAGAATACAGACCACCTAACTGTCCCGAGGTAGCACCAGGCAAGACAAAGGTCAAGTCATTCACGAGAAAGTTAATCAAGGTGCTCTCTAAATAACTGAGCTGTGAGAACGTGGTCACATTCAACCTAAAAAACATGTTTCTGCAGTCACCCAACAACGACCCTGTGCAGTATCTTGCACTGCAAAGACTAGCAACCTTTTTTTTTTTTTCACCTGCAGGCCTTTTCCTGGATTTGGAGGCTGCTCTCTTATTCTTTTCTGGTTTAGCCTTTTTTCCTTTTTTGCTTTTTTGAGAGCTCTCATAGTCACTGTCAGCTTTGCCATCATCTGCTCCTAAGTCATCATCTTCACTGCCAAAATCTTCATCTGGAAGGAAAAGGTACGAATATGAAGTTTATTGTATCATTCTGAACTATGGATAAGAACTACACGGAAGAGGTTAGCATATATCTATCTACCCGTGAAGACAAACTTCATGGCAGCAGCACATTACACAAAAAATGTTATCCCAAACCACGGCTGGAAGGAGCAGCAGGACAGGCAGCATCCAGCTTCGGAGAAGCATATTAGAAAAGTGTGCGCTTCTCTAGGCAGAACAATTTCTCCCCTGTGTCAAATCCCACTCCTGTAACTCTTAGGAACTGGTCTTTATTTTGAAGATACATTAGTTACCTGCCGAGTGTGAATCATCTTTCTTAGTCTTCACATCTTTTTCTTCTGAATCCTCACTGAAAATGAGAGAAAGACAGCGTTTGACTGCTGTTTTAACTTCTATTACAGTCACTGTTGCATACGAATACATATTTTCAGAGAGCAAACTGATCTTTAGGCTGGGAATACGCACTTTTCCTGGACATTACTACATTATACTTCAGGCTTACTCAGCTGTATGTGTTGTTGGCATGGTTGGAAAGGCAATGTTCAAACTCTGAATCACCTACAAACTTACATGGAATCAAGTGAATCAATCAGGAAATAATAAGGTTGAGCCAATAATCCACAGGTCTTCCATTTTACAGTTAGACTTCTGAAGTTTTATATGCTAATGCATGGTTGAATCTATAAATGCAATGAAGTTTTATTCTGAATAGATTTATAGCCATCACTTGTCTTTACACCATCATTTTCTTTGGACTCCCTCATTCTGTGCACACTGCTGTACAGCACTTAACTAGCACGTATTTGGTCTACAAACTCTCAAACGATCTGATCTCTGATGGAGTTTCACCGCTCCCTTCTAGTGGTTTCACTCCTCATCAGAGGGTATCCCTATCAAGCAGGTACTAATGTTCTGCTCTTATCCAAACCCCCATCATCAGGCATCACCACTATCCAGAGAGGGTTTTCCTTCCAGCGTGTGACAACACACACTCCAGACACAGAGTAAACAAGTGTTTAAAACAGGAACAGCGAATACTGTGCTGAGGGCCACTGATGTACAACACGTGCTTCAGGAACGGCTGAACTGCAGTTTGCCAAGGTCAAGAAATGGAGCAGCTCAAACCTTCGCTACTTTCAAATTTGGCACTTGGAGGTGACACACAGCATTTCTCAGGAACTCTAATAGTTTAGATAACTTGTCACATTACAGCCCCTTAGGCCCGTATGTTTCCAGTCTTACACAGACAACTGGGGATTTCACTTAAATACACGAGTTTGTTTTACATGCAAGCCCTCTGCAATGTCGTGATACACACAGAAGTGGTCTTACATACTTAAAAATCCCCAAAGCTAATAGGACACCAAGGTCAACTATTTAGTTGCTTTGGGAGCTGCCAGCCCGATTTCTTTATGTCATACTCATTAAATCTTTGATTCCAGGCATTACAGGCATTTCCAGGGTGAAAGTGGTCTCTCCCTCTCAGTTCGCAACAGCAGGTGGACCACGCAAATATCCCCGCGCCTGCGTTCAGCTTTCAACTTTAGAAGAAGGGCATGATGGGGAAGCCTCTTAAGCACACCAGCTGAGAAGTTACCTACGTGCCAGCAAACAGGGCAACAGAATAAAGAGGCACCGTGGGCTTGCAGAGTAAGCATCAGCTGGCAGAACCTCCATCCCTGATGCTGAGGTCTGTCACAAGAGCAGTCAATTGAGTTAACAGCTCTCAGGGCAATCATTTGCTGACCACAGTTGTTGTAACACGGAAGATACCTTCACTCTGCGGGAAGACTTTCGCTATTCACCAGGGCATCACTTAGAACCGAGTCCTTTCACACTGCTGGAGCAACTCAGTTATCAAAACAAGTTACTTTGTTCATGAATTAGACAAAACTAGAAATGAGAAACAAAGAACCACAAAACTAACAAGTGGCCCCCACTCCTAACTGCCACTGTATTGTCCCGTTAAATCCTTAACCACAGGAATGCTCTCAGCACACCGAAAAACCACGGAAAATGAAATGCACGTTGCCACTAACTTACCTGGATAACTGTACTAGTTGCCAATTTTTGTTACTTGGATCATATTCCTTCCCATTCCAACTGTCTAGCTCAGGAAAGCCACTTTAATGACGAAGTACTAGTGACAAGTACTTCACACATGGTTTCTCTGTCTACGCAGATAAGAGAGAACCACCTCAGTGTCTAAGCTGGTTACCCAAGCTTTGGGATCCAGAGCGCTGTACCTTACACTGCAGGCCTTGGATCCCACTTACAATCTTTCCTCTCAGAAAATACTGCTCCCCACATACAGGACAAGGTTTGGAGACAGACATGTTTATAACAGATGGAAGTGCTTCTTTTACCTGTCCTCCTGAGAATTCTTCCCAGATCGCCTCTTATTTTTAGCCTCCCGGGGAGACGAACGGATTTTCTTGGATGGGGGACCTGAATCTCTTCCATAATCTTCATCTGGACGGGATAGTACAAAATGGTTTTGAATCAAACTCCTAGTTCCCAGCAAACTGACTTCCTCAGCTATAACTTAAACTGACCATTTCATGCACATCAAAAAGAAGCCCTTCAAAAAAAAAAAAAAATCACAAAGCTTCAACCAAAACTTTATAGAAGCAAAGTCCTGTCTTAAACTAGTGATTTACCTTTTCTTCTGCCAACAGCACAATAAAAATGCCCCATACAACCAAGTCTGACACAGGAGTATTAGGAAACACACAAAAAGCCTCACAAGAGGACACAGTATCTCATTTTACAAGAAACAGAGCCGTTCTGTAAACCTATTAAAAGTTAACATCCACACGTATTGCTACACGCTTTGAACAGCCAACACTTTATTTACTGTCCTATGATGGGAAAAAGTATGTCATTATATAGTAGTTTACAGCGTAACTTTCTACAACTGTTACACAATACCTTACACAATATGAGTAACAGGACTGTAATTAAGACCTACGCATATTTGTTTCCATTAATTATCAGTGCAACCTCACTTAGCAAACAGTAGCAGTATGTCTATTTTCTAAGAACACAAAACATATTCCATATGGCTTCCAGAAATATTTCATTAATTCATACAGAACATAAAGATGTTTTTTTAGATGCAATTCACAAAACTGACTGACATTATGGGATTAACTAGAGTCCACAAAAATAAATTGAAAACATATTTTATTGTAGAAAAAAGTGGCATCGGGGAGATTCTGCCACAGACCATAACATAGACCAAGGAAGACGACAGTTGCTGCCAACAGCCTCAAGGCACTACAATACAAGCATTAAATAATAAGATTTCTATCACCATTGTTTGTTTAATACAAAACATATGAGAATCATTATATTTTCAAATACTTATTAACAGTTCAGAGACTGTGAAGAGCAGAAACTCCTCTAGAATTTAAGTTAAAGATGTGACTAGAAGCAGAACAATTAATATGCAAGGCAACAAATGAACTGCTCTAGCCCAAGAATATTACTTTAAGAAAAAAAGTAATTTACCAGCATCATCTGATTCCTGAAACTGGGAGTAATCGACCACCTTCCTGTTCCTGTTAAAAAGCGGGGGGGGGTGGGGGGGATAAATAAAATTAGCAATTCACAATCAGAGATACAAAAGCTTGCTTTCTTCAAGTAACAAGAAAGTGCCACATCCTTGCTTCCAGTGCAGTGTTTGTAGCCCAAAAACATTCCAAGAACACTCTCATAAATAAGCCACCTATACTTTTGAAGTCAGAAATGAACACAGAGCATATTCTGGCATTTTCCTCAGGAGCTGTAAGAGACTGGATTACATTCTCAGAATTTGAAAGTGCTTTTTTTGCCCTCTCTTATGGCTCATGACTGCAGTGAGCAAGAGGCATCTTAACCTATGCTACAGGGTTCTTTCATGATTAAAGCTATATATCTATCATTATCTATCGCTGTAACAGTGAAAGCACTATTTTAAAGCAGTGTCTGCACCCCAACATTAAGGACACATTTAAGGAATGCATCAGCCTGAACTTTTAAGCCGGAGCTCCCCCTATTTCAAAGCTGTGATATTTAAGACTAGGATCCCAGGTATAAAACAAGTACACAAACATTATGAATTAGATGAACATGTCTTAACTGCTCTTTTCTGAACTCACAGCTCAATATCATCTTGCTTGCTCTCACACCTTCTCCTCGAGATTTTCCTTTTCCCATGTGATCCCCATTTCTAAAGCATGTGAAGTTTTCACCAGGGGCTTTCAGGTGCTTTCCCGCTAGTTAGTTGATGCTCTAACAAGATGTGAGCGGGCTGTTACAACGCTCCACTGTATCACTAGGCACAGGGATGAAAGAAGATGCACAGGTCGCCCAACCTGTGTTTTCAGAAGGCGAAGGAGCACGAACCCACACTTTCTGTACCTCATTGGCACTTTCTCTGCTCTCTAACCAAGTAGCGCAGGCAACAAGGTACCATTAGCAGTGCAAATACAATGGCCAATTCTGAACAAAATCAGGTAACTACACAGCAGTTGGAACAAATGTCTCACGTGCCAACACAATTAGATCTGTTTCTCTAATTTACAGAAACCTAACAACCGAACCACAAGTCATTGCTGGCTACTTTCTCAGCATCTGTCCCAACTCCTTTATTGACAAGACGTGACTGCCCTGTAACACAGCTACCCAAGGGAACCAAGACAGCAACGGAACGGAATTACATTCGAGTTCTTTCTGATAACGCCTCAAACTCCAACTCCAAACATCCACCTGTCATGAGTGGCACGCAACGGGAGGCAGTGGCACAGTTGGAAAAGGCACCAGAGATCCAGACACCCCTCCACACGCGCTTTTCACAATCCCTTTGACCCAAAGCCAACGATGAACTTGATTTTGCAGTGATCATCACGTGAGCTCACTGTTATGGCTAGAACAGTCAGGCAAGCGATAGATTAAGCGACCTACCCAGCACCACAGAGTGGAGGGCGGCTGCAAAGAGACACCAACACAAGCTCCATCCAGCCCACGAACCGATGCCCTTCCCCTCTCCTGCCTGCAGAGCACGGCTGCTGCATTTCACATTCGGCTCCCGTAACTGAACTGCGCTCTGTGATTAACACCGTGCATCGCTGACAAGGCTGTTGAGTTGTAAGATACCCCAAAAGTCATGTTGTGTTCTGCTGTTGATCCATTTGGAGTCAATTCTAAGTCGCTCTCCTGTACAAGTACCACTATTCATGGCTTACAAGAGCAGCCTTCAAAAGATGAGGAAGCACAATTATTCTATTCCAACCCTACACCAAGCCTCTTACAAAACTCAAAAAAACCAAACCTCAACCATTCCCCAACCCCTCACCACCACCAAAACCAACAAGCAAACAGAAGGAAGGCAAGACCAGTCATTGGACTTCTAAAGGCTGAACCCCATCCAAGCTTCAGAGTACGCGTGAGCGGAACAAAGTACAACAGCAACGTGCTACAGAGCACTGCTTGCTCACTCACAGTCCGAATACGGTCAAATACCAATTTACAACTGCACAACTACTGCCAAGGCTTGTTACAGTACACCCAGGGACTCAAATTCCTGTTCCAACAGGTAGTCTTCCCGAAGATTGCCTCCTGACCCACCTCACAGAAGAAAACATTAATTTTACTCTAGTAAGCATCTGAAGAACAGTAAAGTTACTGAATAAAATGTTTGATTTGGTGTAAGTATCAGGTATTAGGTTTGTTTCCTCCAAAAGCATAAAGGGGAGGGAAGTAGAATTCCCACATATTCTGTTCTAGCAGTTTTGTAAAACAATGGTTTCTGACATCACTTATCTAACAAGCAAGATGGAAATTGCAATATTGCCACCTCGTATAAGTTGGTCACACACAGCTTCCTCTTGCTTATTTCAATCAGAGACCCACAGTAACTCAGGCACTGAGAATGTAACACAGTCAGATAAAACATTAACAAAACCTGCTGTCCCTATGGAAAACATCCTTCCTCTTTCTAAGCGCTATACCTTGCGTTTTCAGCTAGAAAGTAAAACCTGCCAGGCTCTTGTTACCTGGTGAACAGGAGCAGCGGCATCTGTATCAAAAAAATAATAATAATAATAAAAAAAAGCACTGCGGCAGAAGAGAACAAGAGAGAAGGCTGCCTGGCTTGCTTTACCTAATTTTACAGGGCAAGGAGAAGGGTGGAGGAAAGAAGGAATATCCACACCGATACTACTGAAGACAGAAATTTGCAAGTCTTCCCAACAGAACCAGAGCAACTCAAGGGGTCAGAAACATCAAACCAACTGCTCTTGCATCTGCCATTCTCCTACCACTTCGCTCATCATTCGCCCCATTTAGATCAAGTCATGTTTTTCTTTAGAACTGTCAACAGCACCGATGCGCAGTGCTTAATAACTACGAGCTAGCAAAGAGAGACTGCATCTTCTATTACACCAAGGTGATAAAAGCAGAGTAGATAAGCTCACTGGAGTTAAGAGCCAGAAAAAAAACACTGTTAGTTTGTCAATGAAGACTATCTCTTTGCCACTAGCAAAACTGGGAGACATTAAGGCAAGCTACCAGACACAAAAATAAATTATTTGTTAAATTTGGTTAGATCGAGCATAAAAAGACAGTCTAGTAGACACCTGGGATGGATACTGTTCAATCTGGTTTAAAATACGCACTGAGATTTAGAGCTAACTTACTTGCCAATTCAGCTTAACGGGTGTGCAATGAGGAGCAACAGGGGAGGAAAGGTCCCAACAGCCTAAGTCTTTAGTGACAACCATCAGTCCAACATTCTGGAATAAAGAGTAACTCACCTAGTAAGTCAGCAACACATTACATCAGAAGCACTTAGCAAAGCAGCTCTCAAGTAATTTATACTTCAGCTAGTGGGGTCCTAAACCCTCAGTCTCTGTAGGGCAACATGGCGGAATACAACCTAACATCAATCCCTCAGAATGCTTTTGGTTTTCACAAGGAAATGCTTAGGTCCCGGGTATTTCCACGGACATTGAAATCCACATCTAAAGTCCAAGTTTAAAAAAAAAATACATATACTCCTGAAAAGCAATGCTAGGAGGAGTCTTCAAAAAGCTGGTCGCTGATCTCACCGTGCACTGAAGAGGAATGTTTAGGTCAAACGATTATCAGCAGAAGTAACAACCTATCCTCTTACACAACAGGGCAAGTGAAACGAATGACAGATTAAACGGTTACTGAGATTTTTTTTTACATTTTTTCTTAAACAGGATTTAACCCATATAGCCATCAAACTAAGCATCTGGGAGAAGGGTTCCGGCTGTTTTCCCCACTCAGGCTTGGCGCAGGGCTGGCACAGAGCCGTCAAGTTTCACTGCCTGGTTCTCACCCCAGCTGGTAAAAAGGTGTCCCACTTCGAGGTCACCATGTTATCAATAACTATTGCTGTTAGAAGCACTGCTTTGGTGCCTTTTCTATACATAGGTAAGAAAAAGGATAGATAAGAAGAAATGCTTCTTATAGGTATTTTCAAAGTTGTGCACAACAAACGCACAGCGCTAGATTTAGGCCTTCAATGAACATTCACTTACATTACGCATCAGGAGTTACAACACCGAAGCCTAGTGACAGTTACGTACCTACACATGTCACTGTGGGGTTAGTCTCTTTAAAAATTGGCACAACTGTACTCAGACAAGACTCACCGACTAGAGGTTCCCAGCTACAGAGGTCATTGTTTGGGTCTGGATTGGTGTAACTCCAAACGTCTGTAAGACTAGGCACTGCTCATGGTATCTGCAGAATTTTTAGGGATACACATGACTTGAAACTCCATAAAACAAATGGTTTATGCAGCAACAGTTTAAGCAGTCTTGTGCCCATCCTCCACTGGAGCCTAACTACAATTGATAAGATTTTAAAATGCAATAGAGAAACGTTCTGATGCAGAGCAGGGACCCCCCCCCCCCCCCCCCCAAACCACACACACACACAATCAATTCTGCAACCTGTGCTGCTCCTGGTATTTTGAGTTTTATTGCACCTCTATCCTGCTCTCTGCTGCTCTCTAGACTGAAAGTTCTCAGAGCAACGATCGTACCTTTTCACTTATCTCGAAGGTGTCTACAGCTTATCTCTGGACCCTGCCACACAAGTCAAATGCCAGTCCCCTAGGAAGGCAGTTTTCCAGAACCACAATATTTACACTTTACATTGTTGCTTCTCTGTTACCCCATGGAATTTTTCCAGAACCACAATATTTACACTTTACATTGTCCAGGTACAACACTAGCAACTAGAAAGTTACATTTAATAGATAAATACATTTTTCCCTGCAAGTAAAATCTCAAAGGATCACCCTTCCACTGTAATGCCAACGCAAGACTGGGATTCAAGAGTTACTAATAAAGAAAAATTAAGTACGTAAAGCCTTGAAGCACTAGAGACAGATCAATTCATAACTGGCTTTATGCTTAAAATGAACAAACAAAAAGCCCCTGTGATTTCCACCCTTGCCCACACTGTTTCATTCTGCAAAGCCTGCGGGAGAGGAGGACCAGCCAGTGAAAGCGACTGGTGAGGAAAAGTAGAAGCAAGCTTCATC